CTGTGAAGTGCGAGGGTACAAGGACCTTTTGCAGTCGTCGGTTGTCTTTGTATCAGAACACTCTGCTAAGGCAGAAAGCGTCACCTCTTTTTTGTGTGGGGAAACTGAGGCACGAGCTGGTGAAGGTGTTTGCCCAAGGTCAGACACAGAGCAGGTATCAAGGAGGGCCCAGGCCTCTGGAGCACGTTGCTGCCGCCTTCAAACAAAGCTCTTGACTTCTGGGTTGCTTATTTGAATTTATTTATTTGTCGGGAGCTGCCTGGACCACGCTGCATCTGGATGGACCAGTGGCTGAAGCTGATTTCTCCCAAGAGCGTTGCAGAAGGGCTGAGAGTCCCTATATGGACTTCCTTGGTGAATGTCTGTGTAGCACCAGAGCCCCTCGTTTTGGGCAGGACCCTTGTGCTCCAGGGACTGTGGAGACTTTCTGCAGGCTACCAACAAGCCCCAGGGTGATGATGAAGCCAGGTTTGGCAGGGGCAGCGTGCGGTGGGAGCTGGAGCTGTGCAGGGACAGGCATGGGGCGAGCACGGTAGCTGTGGCAGAGCAAAGCCAGTGGCCGTGAGGTGAGAGGTGGGGATCTCTGGAGGGGCGAGAGCTTCCCCTCCCCATCATGGGATGCCTCCTTGGTGTGGAGAGTGACCCCGTGGTCAGAAGGTCTTTTCACAAGACTAGAAAGTTTTCCGTGAGAGCAGAGAGGTGAGAAGGGGAACTAGGCAGCCCCTTGTCTGGGGGAAAGTCTCGAAGACAAACACTCAGCAGATTAATTCCCAGCCCCAGGCCCCCTCTTGGGCCATCGGGAAAGGCCATGAGCACCCTTATGTGCTGCTGTACACCCACCATCAAAACAGAACCAGGGAATAAATGTGGCAACGAGAGGGGACACAGTGTTGCCTGTGATCTGGAGACACTGGGAGCGTGAGGGCAGACCAATCTGGCAGCCAGGAGTGCCTGTCTGCCCCTTTCCCCTTTCCTGTGCCCTTGATCAAATCACTTCACTGGTCCCAGCTTCCCCTTCCCTCTGCACCATCCTGTACTGCTTGTCCACATTTCTCTGCTCCTGCCTTGCACAGCCTCCCGGGTTGGCGTGTTCTGCCTCGGTCCTTGCCTGCTTTCCCCATGTCTCCTCCCAAAACTGAGCTCGGCAGCTGACAGGTTTGGCCACGGGTGCCCTTGCCTGGAGGAGGCAACCAGCAGCCCTAACTCCAGGGCTTGGGAATGGACAAGCCTCTTTGGAGAAGGCAAGAACCATCCTGAACTTTACAGACAGCCCAAACCCATTAGCAAGCTGGGAAAAGTCCAATTAACCTTTGTTTCTTACAAAATGGCAAAGCTCTTGGTTTCTGTGCCTTCCTGCAGCTTCTGATTTTGGCCAGACCTGGAGGAGCCACTGTTCCCCTGGGGTGTTTCTGGTAAAGCTGGAGGAGCCTTCCCAGGAGAGCATGACCTTGCAGGCAGAAGGATTTGGGGAACCTTAGGATCTCTTAATTGCCAGAGTAAATGGCTCCTTCCCACTAATGGACACAGCTCTAACCTGGCTCGTCCCCACCACGAATGGGCTGTGACTTGCTGCAGAGAGAGAAAGGGAGACTTGAGTCCCGCAAACGCCATGGAGCATCTGGAGCCGGGCGAGCTCACCTTCCTCTCCAGACCAGCACCTTCGGCTGGGGCATCCGCAGCACTCGGAGGCTGCTCTGCGGCCCTGTGCCCTAGGCTGGCAGCTGCCTGCGCTGCCCAGGTGTTCCCAGAAGGGCTGCTCTGATCTCTGCTGGTGGCAGTCCCCTTCTCTGTCCTGCTTGGTTCTTCAAAGCCTGCTGGTTTCCTTTTCTTCCCCTCACAAGGGAGGGAAGAGCTTCCCGGCCTTGGCAGGCTCCTTCCCCGGTGGTTCCGCGGTGGTGTGAGCTGAGCAGAGACTGAGTGAGGATCTTTGCCCTTCACCGAGGCAGGTTGTAAACCTGTCTCGCACCAGCAGCGCCGACTGCTTGCTGCCCTGTAATGGGCTTCAGCCGCATCAGACCCACCAGCCCAACTCTCCTTGAGAAGGCCACACCGCTTGGATTGTGTCACTTCTTTTTCCAAGCCTGATTTCAGGGTCCTGCAGGCTCCTTTTATTCACCAAGCAGATGCTTTGTGGCATGCAGACCAGCAGAAGCTGGATCAGTCTCCATCCACCCAGGTCAGCACTGAGTTTCCTACCTCCAGGAAGCCAAATTATCTTGTTCCACAGGGGTCAAACACCACAATCCCTGTCCAGACTGACCGATGGGAGAGGAAATTCCCCTTGGTACCTAGCCCTTCATTGACAGCATCCCCGCTGCAGGCAGCGCAAGCCTATCTGCACACAAAGGTGGGAGCCTGAAGGACCAGAGCGATTCTGCCTCTGTTGTGGTGACACCGACAGCTTGTGAGCGAGCGTTTGAGCTTCCTGGGGTGCTTGGTCTGTGGTGGAGCTGGCACCAGGAAAATGCAAACCGCAAAGTGTCCTTGTGGGTGGAGAAGAGGATCTGTCACTTGGGAGAAGTGTTTTAGCCCAGTCATGTCTCTTCCCTGACTTCGCCTCCTGTCATCCTCCTTCCAGGCAGGAGGCAGCACCGCTCTGGGGCCTCTGTATTGGTGTCCTCCATGTGCTGCAGCTGCCAGAGAAGCTTCCTACAAAACGTTGTTTCTTCCAGCTTTGCTGAGATTCCTTGTTTTCTATTTTTCCTACCGAAGAGCTTGTTTCTAGGGGGCTGTCTCCAGACATTTTAATTGTGAGGTTTAAGGCTCTGCTACTGCAATTGACAATCAAACATCCAGATTCCTCTGGTGACTTTGGAATGTTTTGGCACTGGTTTTGCCTGATGAGTGCTCGTATGTGGCAGACACCAGAGTCAATCAACCGGAGGAGGAATCCTGCAGGACACCAGATGCTGTTAGCTCTGCTCCCTGCAATGGCAGAGCTTGGAGATGTCGGTGCGGTGGGACCTGCGCTGGGGATGAGGTGCAGGTAGATACCTGACCCACAGCTCTGTGGCACTGTGGGGATGGCAGTGTCACATCAGGGGAGGCAGGATGAGAGAGGTGACCTGTGGCTGTGGCCTGGAGTCATCTGTGTGTGTCGGGAGGAGGGGGACGGGGAACCTCGCCCAGTGTCCCTCACACAAGTCTTAAATACAGCAGAGCAACGTGGCCGGAGCCATTCCCTGCCAGGCTGGGATGGAGGGATCGCTCTGCTCTGGTGCAGTAATTAGAAGCCATTGAGTTCGTTAGCTGGCAGCTCCGGAAAGGCTGGCAATGCTTCTAACAACTTCCCTACTGGGGAAGGCAGCCGGGCATGCTTGTGAGCCGGGAACAGGGCTCCTTCCAGGGGGACAAGCAGGACTGTAACCAAGGGTGGGCATCGCGTGGGGGCTGTCCCCAGAGCCAGGCGTGTTGGGCAGCAGAGGGTGTGAGTGGGGCCGGTGGGTCTCTTCCTGCAGGAACAGAGCTGAGCCTGCGGAAGAGATTCTCTCCTCGGTTGTTGCCTCCTGACTCCCTGCTCCTGTGATGCTCGATGGAGAAAACAGGTTTATAACTCTCAAACAGATGGTCCTGCCTGGTGACTAATGAACGGTTCGCCGCCTGTGACGCCTGTCTGGGCGGAAGGGAGCTCGGCTGATCCTTGCTGACGCCAGCCCCTCGGAAGTTAAGTGGTGGCTTGTCCCCTTCCTGGGTAGCCATGGTTTGCAGGCTGTGCCACCACAACATGGGTAGTTCAAGGACTGTGGAGCAGGCAGATCTTGCCAGATGCTTTCCAGCCTTTGCACGGTGTGGTTTCTCCTGGCTGTGACCTTTCCAGCAGCTACACTTGCAGGGAGGGCTTGTGCAGGGGGCTGATTTAGTCCTGTTGTCCTTGTGAGGCATCTACCCACCCTCGGAAGATGCCACTGCGCAGGAATAGCCCCTGATGTGCCTCGCTGCCTCCTGTGGCACCTGGCACAGAGGCTGGGCAGGCAGGGTTTTGAGGGTGTTGTGAGAAAGCCCTGGGAGGCCTGCCTGGAGCAGACAGGGTCTGCAGTGGGCTGGGGGCACACAGCCCCAGCCCTGTGGGCACCACTTGCTGGGAAAGTTCTTTCCCACGAGTGTGGCTCTCGCAGGTATCCAAACTTTCCAACTCTGCTCTCCCCAAGGCTGACTCGGTTCTGCTCATCAGCCAGCTTGGCAGAGGTAACGAAGCGTAATTAACTGCTCCCTTTACACATCCGCTTGGCTCAGCGGGAAGGTTTGTTAAAGGGATTTCTAGAGAAGCTGGCGATCGTAGTGCCTGCTCCAGCACAGTGTGGGGAGCCGGGGCCCAGGGAAGGGAGTGCAGGCAGGACCTCATTCAATGCCTTTCCAGTGCTTTTGGTCCCAGAGAGCGCAGCCACGGCCACCTGGGACCCCAGCTCCCAGACAGATGAGCTGGGCTTGGACTCACAGCATGGTCATGGCAGGGAAGAGCTGGTCCGTTTGCCTCCCGGTACCACCACCAGCCAGGGCAGCCTGGTGCTCATCTCTGCTGTCCAGGGTTGTCCCTGCCCATGAAGGACCCTGGAAGGTGGCTGGTGCAGACACGGTTGACCTTGACCGTTTAGTCTTACAGCGAGCCTGGCAGCAGAGAGCAAGACCTTCTTTGTGCGTCTGGGATGCTGTGAAGACAGGGTCTGCAAATTGAGGTCTCCCTTGCTGGCGTATAGGCGGGCTGTCCCCATGAGAGGGGCATAGGACCATGCAGGGAGTTGCTATGGGGCGTTAGCCTGGGGTTTTAGGTAGCGGAGGGGTGGTGTAATGTCCTTTGTTGCACAGTGGCTGCTCTCGGAGTGCCTGCCATGTTGCAGGACTCAGCTCCGAGGGGACTGGAAACATTGAGCTCTGGGAACAGGGATGCTCTGGGAAGCTTGTTGGCAGAGCCGAGGGCAGCAGGCCCAAGTTAATGCTGTGTGTCCTCTCTTCTGCATCCACGTTGAACTGGAACAGGAGCGGCAGAAAAAAGCCAGGTTTCCCGAGAGCAGCGACGGCTCCAAGGACTTGGACAGCTCTGCCGGGCGCCGGGGCAGTGCCAACCGAAAGCATGGGCGATGGCGGGGACGGCCAGACAGCCCCGGAGTGCTGGTGTCCAAGGTGGTGAGAGCCGTCACGGCGAGACACAAACCAGGACGGAGGCTGCCGGCTGTGCCAGACTCCTCCAGCCAGAGGAACCTGACGGAGCTGCGTGGGGAGGCCCAGCTGGCCGTCTTCCAGCAGGGTGACACAGGCAGCGTGGAGGGGGCTCCCCAGCCCACCGAGAACAGCTTCACCCCTAAGTGTGAAATCACGGGCAAAGACGCCCTCTCAGCACTGGCCCGGGCCAGCAGCAAGCAGTGCCAACAGGAGATCGCCAACGTGGTGTGTCTGCACCGGGCCGGCAGCCTCATGACCCAGTCCGTGCCTCGCCACTGCCAGCTCTCGGGTGAGTCCTGCTGGGGTATTCCCAGTTGCCCTGGGCATCAGGAATATCCCAGCCAGGCACATAGGCCACCTTCCTTCTGTCACTGAACTGTCCCACCTGGCAAAAAGCAGCCTCAATCTGTCGCTGATTCCCAGATTACTGCTGCCTCTGTAATCCAATCAAAGCTGTGCCAGGCTCCTTAAGCTGGGCTGTTCATCCCCACCTGCAGTGCCTGCAGAGATCAGAGCCAGGCCCAGCTGCGTCTTCTGTTTTGAAGGGCCCGACAAGGACACCTCCCCTTTTCCAACACAGCCCTGGCCATTTAACACAAAGGGCTACGTGTGCCACTGTGCCCTGGCACTACAGCCAGTTTGGGCCACACTGATGGGGCTTGCCCGAGGCCAAGCTCTTCCCTGCTGTCCCCTGCCTTGCTGAGGTCTCCCTGGCTTGTCAGGAGCTTGGGATGGTGGGTGCCAAGGCCAGGGGTGGCTGACAGCCCTCTCTCTCCCCACACAGGCAAGGTCAGCCCTGTCATCCAGTGGGACGAGAGCCGGTTGCAGCAGGTGCCCCCCAGCAAGCCCGTGCGCATCGCCTACATGCTGGTTGTGCACGGCAGGGCCATTCGCCAGCTGAAGCGGCTCATCAAGGCTGTGTACCACCAGCAGCACTTCTTCTACATCCACGTCGACAAGGTATGCAGCAGGGGTGAGGGGAGCAGGGGGTTGCTGAGAGTGCCCAGATCGGTCAGCAGGACAGGGTGTGGAGCTGGGGCATGGGCAGCTGGTGAGCGGAGGAGGTGGCTGGGTAGGGTTTGTCCTCGCTGCTGGTGGAGCTGTCACCCTCCTACCCCTATTTCTGCAACCCCAGGGAAGCAGGATCTGTCCCCCCTGTCCGGAACAGTTTTGTCTTACTGGTCCTCTCCCTGTGGAGGCTGCTATAAGGGCTGACCCTGGGCTGGTGGCAAGGAGGGCAGGGCCCCAGGAGGACGAGCTCTCTGCTGAGCATGAGCTGTATTCCACAGCGCTCCAACTACCTCCATCGTGAGGCGGTGGAGCTGGCCCGACACTATCCCAACATCCGTGTGACGCCGTGGCGCATGGTGACCATCTGGGGAGGTGCCAGCCTGCTGAAGATGTACCTGCGTAGCATGAAGGATCTGCTGGAACTGGCTGAGTGGCCCTGGGACTTCTTCATCAACCTGAGCGCCACTGACTACCCCACGAGGTAAGGACCTTTTTGGGGCAGGGGAGGATGATGGAGGTGTTTGGGCTGTGTGATGCTGCAGCAGCCTTGGGAGGAGCAGAGAGCTGAGGGAAGATGGGGTTGGAGATTGCACCCACGTGCTGGTGATGATGCTCCAGGGCCAGGCTGGTCCCATCTCTACAGAGGAGCCCAGCCAGTACCTCGGAGGCTGTTTTGTCCTGCGGCCTGGGTGTTGCAGGGGAACACGCATGCGAGGCGCCAGACAGCAGAGAGGCCATGTCTCTGTCTCCCTAGCAATGAGACAAGGCTTTGAGTCACACCCGTGGAGCAGCTTCAGGCAACTTGTGTCTGATGGCTCTTGTAATATGAATGTTTACTGGGCTGCTTTACCCCGGGTGCCATTAATGCTTTCTAATTTGCACATCAGGACCAATGAGGAGCTGGTGATGTTCCTGTCCAAATACCGAGATAAGAACTTCCTGAAGTCTCATGGCCGAGACAACGCCAGGTAATCCCGGCTAGGGGCAGAGCTGAGCTGGAGGACCAGAAAAAGGAGAGATTTCAGAGAACTGAAACAGTTGGGGCAGAGGGGATGTTCTGGATGTAGCTGCACCTGGCAAAGTGGGTGACACTCCTAACCCCTCATCCTTGTCCCCATGCCCAGGTTTATCAAGAAGCAAGGCCTGGACCGCTTGTTCCACGAGTGTGACTCCCACATGTGGCGGCTGGGCGAGCGCCACATCCCCGAGGGCATCGTGGTGGATGGGGGCTCTGACTGGTTCTCACTGACGCGCAGCTTCGTGGAGTACGTGGTCTATGCTGAGGACCAACTAGTGTCCCAGCTGCGCCAGTTCTACACCTACACGCTCCTGCCAGCTGAGGTGGGTGCTGGCTGCGGGGCACAGGCCAGATTTTCTTCTCACTGTACTTAACATCTCTGTCCCACTTCATCCCTGCCCTGGGTAGCTGCGAAGGGCATTGCTGGTTCTGCTCAGGCAGCTTTGTGCTTCCCCTTTGTCCAGACCCAGGCATGAAAGAGAGGAGAGAGGAGCCGACAGCCCAAGGGTCATGTTTATATTCAGCCCTGCTTTAGGTCCAGACACCCCTCTGGGCCAGATAAGGACTGTTGTGGGCACACAGCCTGGTCCCTTACGTGTTGCCCTGCGCTGGGAACAGGGATAGATTTCTGTTCAGGAGCTAGCGAGGTCTGCGCTGTTCCTCTGCGAGTGAGGGGTGGAGGGCTCTCTGTTAACCACCCGTCCTCCATCCCCACTGGGTGTCCTGTCCCTTCTCTGCCGTGCGCAGTCCTTCTTCCACACGGTCCTGGAGAACAGTCACGCCTGCGAGACGCTGGTCGATAACAACCTCCGAGTGACCAACTGGAATCGGAAGCTGGGCTGTAAGTGCCAATATAAACACATAGTCGACTGGTGTGGGTGCTCCCCAAATGACTTCAAACCCCAGGACTTCCTCCGGCTACAGGTGAAAAAGATCCTCCTTTCTCCTCCCACTCTCTCCCCTCCTCCCTGGCTCTCTCCTCTCTGAGCTCCCCTGCAGCTGCACCCCTGGGTGCGATGCCAGCTGTTGTGCATGCCCCTGCAAGCCTCACCCCAGCCCCGCAAGGGACAGGAGCAGGATTGGCTCCCCAGCTGCCATGAGGCTCGGCACAGACGTGTCTGTAGACACTGAGGCAGCGGGGCTATGCTGACTGTCCTGTCCAGCAGCCGGGCTTTTGCTTGCAACACTGCTCCTCTTCCCAGACTTTCTGTCCCATTTTCCTGCTCTTTC